AATTGTTTATGTCCACAGATGCACCACACAGGACTACATCGGAGTATTCCACATGCAGTGCAGAATCCATATCGAGAGTAATAGTGGTAAAAGCGTTCATCAGCAACCATGTAATAACTACCGTCATACTCGGTAAATCCATCAATGAGTTTGTTGCGATAGTTAAGCCATTCCTTATATCGTCTAAATTGACTGACATTACTGTACTTGTGTGTCGGAAGTGAGTATATTCTAGCAAACTCACTCACAAGTGCTGGTGTACATTCTTCGCTACTTCCAAGGAATACCAGTATTATCGTGTAATTATTGTGAACAGCATAATAGCCACTGTCCATTGATGTTATGTCGGTAATTTGCGAGCAAGGAATCCATTCAAGTCTTAAGTATTCATATCCACTTTCCAAGGAGGATTGAACCAGGTTGTCAATTGCTGGATTATTAACAGTCCCTGATGCTAACGACATAGTTTGAATTAAAAAAAAAATTTTTTTTTTTCGAGGGAACAAATCTCGTTTTCAACGCTTGTGTTATTATTATGCATATTACTGTTCTGGGATCCTCCCATTGGCTGAAGCCCTATTTCCATTATTATGAAAATTGTGACCAAAAAAAAGTTCGAACTTTGACTATATAATCGTTGGACAACACGAGTAGAGTGGTTCGCATCATATTTTATCAACAAAAAAATGTAAACGATAAATGTCTATTACGCATCTTAAATAATTCAAACTTGTGCAAACTAAGCTGTCGGTTGCTCTTTTTATTACATATTGGAATGAAGCATTACCAGGTACAACTGTGCGATTTAGAGAAAATTTTGACAGAGGAAATGGAATTCTATTCCAAAGTCCGTTTTAATAATTTAGTTATTAGTTGCGATGCTGTTTTGAAAATAATGGAATTAATTTAATGTAGTATTAGATTATAAAAGCACCTCTCACCCTTGGGAGGTGGGCGGACGTAGTATATAAAATTCGTTGCAAATAGAAAATAAAATAAAATAAAGTTAGTAATGTTCTGACCCATTCAGGATTTGATTTTGTAAATATGGGGAAAATTTATTGTTATAGAAGTGGATATGTTTGATTACTATCGAAAAGTTACATTTTTTAACATAAATTCTATGAGTTTCGAAGACTTGGTTTCTTGCTATTGCTTATTTAGATATATATTATTATTAACCAGGAATCTTCTGCCATTTTCATCAGAAATAACATTCAGAATTCCAGAGCCACCATTTCCTGTAAAGATCGAAAATATTACATTGTTGTTGTATATAGTTCCTATTACAAGCTTACTATATTTGTCAGCAGTACATTGAAGTCTGAATATTGTATGATGGTGATTGCATTAATCGTTATCTGTACGTTTAACAAGTACTAGTATTATTATGTCTTTGCTATAAAGATGAATAAACGAATGCAGATAAAGCGTGTTATTAAAAGAAGTGTCATCGTTGGTGTATCCAGGGTGTGGATAATCAGAAATAATTATAGACTATCACATCGTAAAAATCGAATGGGTTGAGGTGAAGAAACAAGTATCTGTCGAAGAGGCCATTTCGCTCAACCGAAAGATTGATCTCTCAATCAAAGAAACAACTGCCGGATAACTTTATTGATAAGTAGGGCAATTGTGTGATTCTGTGACATATATATAATAATAATTGGTATACCTATTATTTCTTGAATGCAATAAAGAATATTTCGCTTTCAAGGTACATCTGTCGACATGTATTATTAGTTTTTCGATTTTGAGCTGGATTCAGTAAAGTATAACTTTCACACTATAATGGAATTACACGTACAATCATTAAGAAGTCCACTATGACAAATGGTACATGCTATTATAAAATTTACGCTATAATGGATTTAATTTAATTCAGGGCATAATACTTGATTTGCGTGTTTGACTAGTCAATTAAACCCTATCGCTCGCTCTTTTATTCTTACGAATAAAAGGTTTGTTATTTAGAAGGGTATGAGCTCGAGGCAAATGAAAAAAAAAAAAATTTTTGACAGTTTGGAAAATAAATCAGCGAAATATAAATCTGAGTCCAAAAAAGGAAGCATATTAAGCTGGTGACTAAATATACGAATAAATTCAAAGATACCTATAATCGTATTCGTTAGAACGTAATGAAAGAATAACCAACCGAATGTGTTTTTCAGATTTTTATTTGGTATTCGCTAATTAATTTTATACCACACACGTAGATAGTTAGAGATCACAATAATCGGCATAAAATGATATTGTGATCATTAGTCTTGAGGCTTTGCCACTTCCTTATTCCAGACACAAAAGTGCCCTCACTCCGTGGGCATTGGCCACGGATCGTTAAATCCGTAAATCTAAAATCACAGTTTAAGTTATTGTAAACTTACTATGCTGATAATTTATTACTATTACCTAGATTTAGAACGAAATTAATCAGTGACGACGATCTGCACGACACATAAGCATAATATAAATACTTAATAGTCCCAAAAACTGACTTTCAGAATTAATATCGGATGCCTCGCCGCAAGAAGGACATCGATGACGGTTTAGACTCCAGCTCTGAAGAGGAGTATGAGTCTTTCGACATAACCGAGGCAGATCTTCTTGCTGAAAGCGAGCTCTTTGCAGGCAAGTTGCACATTCTTGTTAGAAAAAGCCTACTCAAGCAATTCAACTTACGATTGTTTTAACATTGTAGATCCAAATCGCCGACGTAAACGTAAAAAGTTTACGAAAGAAGAAGCTTACCTGGGGGTATTTGCAGAGACAGAAGCCGATGAGAATGAATCAAGACGAAAGACCAGGTATGAGTTTCGATAAACTTGGCGCAGGTGGGAGTTGAATATTTGCTTATTACGGTTGTCGCTATTTACTATTGCTTTCGCCTTGTTTGTTAATGCTTATCTTTCTATGTTTGCTACGTCCGTAGTGAAGTAAGATTCGTCCAGTCACGCGCAATGTCCCCAACTCGTGAGCAATTTCAGCGGACTCGAGCTAAAAGCAAAGAGACTGAAAATTTTGAGCAGTATGGCATTGGATTCAAGTTATTGCAAAAGCAAGGCTTTCAACCAGTAAGTTGATCAACATAAAGCTTTCTAATCGATTCTGAATTATGCTCAATATATATATTTCATTTAATCTCAGGGTAAAGGTCTCGGCAAATCAGGAGAGGGCATAGCCGAACCTATATTAGTGAAGCCGAGACCCACGAAAATGGGTTTAGCTTATCGCAACTTTCAAGAGAGGACTCAACAGGAAATAGACGAAGACAGGACGTGAGTTTATAAGTAGATCATGTTTATGTAAACAAAAAGTTATGGTCATCTAATGTTGATATGCTCGATTGGTATGCATTGATCAGGAGACTGGATGCTGGTAAAGAGGCTGAGAAGGCGGAAGAATCTCGACCACAGAGAAAGAAAGCATGGAAGAAATCAGCAGAAAAGAAGGTCAAGATTACATATAAGACTGCGGACGAAATTATGAAAGAAGCAAGTTCATTTCCTGCAATGCAGCCAATAAAAATTATAGACATGACAGGACCACAGGTAAAGCTTGTCGATATCACTATGTCTTTATTCAAAGACTTTTGTTGATTATGTTCGCATTTTTCTCTAGATTAGAGAATTATCTTCAGCTAGCGAAATTAGTTCCCGACCGAAAGAGACTTTCACGCGTCTTCCCGAATTGCGACATAATTTGATGTTGCTTGCAGATAAAGCCACTGCAAATCTAGAACATCTGACAAGAGAATTACGAATACAAGAACAAAGAACAAAGGTTTTAGAGCAGGAAGTTAAGATGAAAAGCGCGCTTTTAGAAGAGAAAGAAAATGGTAAGGAAAATATTTTTTTTCGTTTTATGTTTGATTTTTAATCTAAATTTCACTTTTTCTATAATTTATTTTCAGTGATTAATGACTTTAGTGGAGTCTTTAAGCTTATCAACGAATGTTACGCCATATTGACAAGTAGTAAAGAAACTGTTACACCATCGCTTTATGTGTTTAGCGAGCCGTTTGAAAAATTGCAAACTGAATATGAAGTTGAATATGAGCAATACGGGTTGGATGCCGTTGTTATTGGTCTAATAACTCCTATCGTAAGTAATACCCATATCTGTTTTCCATGCTTTGTACCAAAATATCATCCTAAATAATTTTACTTATAGTTCAAAAGGAGTATTGTCGACTGGGATCCGTTAGAAGATCCAACGCTTAATTTATCCGCTTTTCAACAATGGCTTCCACTACTAAAAATGAATTTGCCAGCTTCTAGACGTCTCGCAACGAATAATAGTAAATTTTCGAGTCAAGTTGCGATGACACCATATGAAAGCATGATGTATAATATCTGGCTACCAAAACTTCGTTCAGCGATCAAGTAAGCGCAAGCTATTTGTAGTTTTCAAAAGTCTATAATAACTTTTTATAATAACTGAACTCTTGCTATCTAGTAATACGTGGAAAGTAAGAGACTTTGACCCCGTAATTGCACTTCTCGAAAAATGGAAACCGCCATTGCTACCAAGGTTTATATATGACAATATAGTAGATCAATTGATAATGCCAAAAATTCAAAAAGAAGTGGACAATTGGAACCCAAGAGAGGACAAGGAAATGATACACCACTGGTTGCATCCATGGTTACCTATTTTCGGAGATCGAATGGAACCATTATATGTGATTATTCGACAGAAACTTAGAGTTGCGTTACGGACCTGGCATCCAAGAGATCCAAGCGCTTTCACTATATTATTTCCGTGGAAAAATGTAAGCTTACCAAAACGTAACTATTTTGTTTTATGGGCAATTTAACATTTAGTAAGTAATTGATAAATTATCTACGACTAATATTTAGGTATTTCGCGAGACCGATATGCAATCCTTTCTTCGCAAATCCATTCTTCCAAAGCTTGTTGAAGTATTGCGTGATGAATTTGAAGTGAATCCACGAGATCAAATTCTTGGTATGTAATCTACATAATCTGAAAATGCTGTAACCACGGTTGTTATGAGTTGCTAATAATCTTTATCGTACTAGATTCTTTCAAATGGGTGACGATTTGGCGATTTCTGTTTCCTCCGGAAGTCCTTGGACAAGTTTTTGTTACAGAATTCTTCCCCAAGTGGTTAGATGTACTTTATATATGGCTGACGCATTCACCCAATTATGAGGAAATAGATCAATGGTGAGGATTCAAGTATAAAAAATTTTCCATTTGTTGTAATAAACATGCTTACAAATTTATTGTCTTCTAGGTATTCGTTCTGGGAGTCACAGTTTCCATCCAAGTTGCTATCTACACCTACAATAAACGCGGGTTTTAAACAGGGTTGGCATATGATAAATCAAGGTCGAATACTTGGTGATCAAACCGCTACAAGGTCAAATTTTTTTTACTGTTCTATGTGCGAACTTCAGTGTCATGTTTGAGTTCAACATTAACGCCTAATTTGAATGCGAAAACTTTATAGACTCACTCGGCCATCTCAAGTGCCTGAAGCGGCTGCAGATACGTCATCCATACAGACCGCAGCAGTGCCCATGGAAACGCAAACGATGGCGGAAGATTTTAGCTTTAGAGAAGTTGTTGAAGATTTTGCTCAAGAACATAACCATCTGTTCTTACCAGCACATAAAACACATGCAGAGACAGGAAAGGCTTTATTTCGATTTGGTGGCACGGTACAAAGCACGGGAGGTGTACTTGTTTATTTGGATGATGACGTTATGTTTGCTCAGGAGGGGAATGACTGGCTACCAATGAGTTTTGACGAAGTTTTAGAAAAAGTTGAAATTATTAATAGTAATAACGGTCGATAGGGGACAAAAATTAGAAAGGTTATAATAAAAGTTTACAATCACTAGATTCATTCGGACATTGCTCAATCACATTACAACAATAAATTATAGAATAAGTTTCAGAATTGATTTGTTAATTGAACCGTTTTACCATAATTTTTACAATCAATAAACTACATAATTCGAGTCTCTTTGAATTCAAGCTTGTAACTCTACAATAACATCAAGCGACCCACATAGCCAACGGCTTTCGCACAAGCAGTCGGCCATGAAACTAGTTTGCATCTCAATTCGGTATCTATTAACATTAAAAAGAATATTCCAAAGCGTACAAACTATATCACTAGTGTCAGGAAAATTCCACACGCGATATTGTAGCGGGCATAACAATTGCCTAATTATTAGTCAATAGTTGATTTTACGCGTTGACTACATGAGCTAAAAATGGTTAACTCGAAAAATTAAAATGTGATTTAGATAGGCTTATAACTATGTATGTTAGTACAAGATTATTTTTATGCAAAATAAACACTTCTTATGTAATTCACTTTATCAAACTATAGCATTGTTTTTTTTCAAGAAGTACAATCAAATCGGTATAAAAAGCATTGCTCGTAGAAATATTTAAAATTCAATGAATATGGTCCAGGGATTGTTGAATTTATATTTTAAATACAACAATAAAAAGTTTTTGTTTTCCTATTGACGTGTTACGCTCGATTAATAGTAATATTTCCCGAATGACTTATTACCTCATTAATTAGTTATACGACGCGAATTATAATTAATATTATAGCTGTTTATATTATCTCGACATGTATGTTGAATTGGTTGAGTTCAACGTGTCCAGGAAATGTTCGTATTAGAGGGCATGTTCATGAGGCATGGCATGCTAGTAGACGCGTTTTTCAAGTTGTTTGATATAAAAATGAAAAATACAAATAAAGTTCTAGTTTTCTCTTATTATTTGCGATTGATCTCTGGTCGGATACTATTAACTCCAGCAGTAAATTTGCTTAATATATACCCACGTTACACAACCCTTGCAGTGAGCGATTACTATAGCAGATATCTCTTTTACGTAGCAATAATCATTGTAAATACAATACCAATTACGAAGTCCTGTAGGAGAGAAATTTAGCCTGGTATATGTAGAAAGCGGGCGTCAAATAATTAAGCCTTGAGTAATGCGGCCTTTTGTGTACCCTTAGTCGTCCGCATTTCTTTTATCCGAGCTTTTGAGCTTTCTGAGATTTCGCCTCAACGGTACAAAGGGAACTTTTTTTGTCGCAGAAGAGTGCCGTTGAACTAGTAGTTTGGCCTCAAGCAGAGTGTTCAGCAGTATCGTGATTATCTGCTTTTCAGCCAAACTTTGCAGCCGTTTGCTTATGCTAACAATTTGTGAGAGCTTTCTTACTTCATAAGTGACATAATTTATCTTTTAGAGAAATATTAGTAAGCCTACAGGATACCAATTCTTTGTGATATTCACACCTACTAGCACTTGATTCTAGAATGTAAATGGTCAATAAAGTATTGGTCAGATATGTACATGTTTTGTGTAATACATTTATTATTATATGATTATCTGACGAAACAATATTAATAATATTAAACGTAAATCGCTATTTAAATACTAATATTTATGAGCAATATAATAGCAAATGTACCCTCCACATGACTTAGATGTGCAAGCAGTCTTATCTCTGAATAGTGACATATTTTTCTCGTTTTCCACTGTGCTGCCAATTCCTCAACACAGAGCTATTATAATACACTTCTATATCTAGTGATTAACTTAATCTTAATATAAACGTGATAAGCATTATATACAATACTTACTGCCCACTTGATTACACAAATACAAAGTCTGGCATTTCTTCCCTTGTGATAAAAAGTGAATGTGGCCATATCTATAAACCCAGATTTAATCTGTGGATATAGGTAGGAATATTAAACCTACCAACTTCAAACAGTCTGTATTTCTCTATTAATATGTGACTTCATTTTCAACAAAAATGTTTGGAAGAAATGACTGGTGAGTACTTTGGGAAATGTCCAGTGTAAGTGAATGACTACTAAGAAAACATAAAAATAAATGTCAACTTTTAAATTGATTACAAATTCCTACATAATATATATTAATATTGGCAATACTGCATACCATAAAAGTCAAGCATCATCAGATTAATGCTTGTTTTTGAGACTGTCCAACCATATACCCAGAGGTTTGTGCAAAATTGATGATGTTCTGTGGCTGTCAGGTGATTTTTTGTTGAAATCATCAAACATGACTTCCCAAATTCTGGCTCTATGAGCATTGTTTTTGGTATTATTAACCCATGTTCTGAGATGGTTTCTAGTCTTGTTATAATTCCACTCTTTGTGTCATCATACAGTTGTCTCTTCAAGTTTATAAATATGTTTAGCATCACCCACATGAAAGATAATAATAATGTCATTAATAAATTCTTACCTTTAACTAGAAGGTGCAAAATTTTGTGAGCAGTCAATGAAATGGGATCCATCTATTCAATGTCTGTGATAGAGCACTGCATTGCTTTGTTCATCAAAATGGAGGTCACTGAGATTACCTCTATTACTACCAGCAAATATTATTACTATTGCTAATACTACTTGTGGTTGTAGTTGACCTTTGCAGGTGTTTTGCTGCAGCAAGAGAGAAATTACTGAAAGTCTTAATTTCATTATCAGTGATTTCATCCAGAACTTTATATTCTTTGTCAGGGTTAGGGTCACTGTACTCTAAGCCTTCTTTTGTCATTTCAAGCACTAAGGTATGATTTAACCAAGAAATACACATTTATTAATAGTTACTACATGATGTTGCACTCAATAACTGCTAATCCCAAGATGGACTAAAATACAGCAATCTTTAAAGAGAAACTTCTGCAAAATAATACCTCAGTGTTATCACTTTTCTTACTGTTGCAAAGTGAATAGATTGTGAACTAAAGAGAAGAGATAAACGCAACAGACAAAGTGAACATAATAATAAGACAAAACGCGAATTTGATCATCATTGGTCACGTGAAGATCTAGAAATTTCCTAATACAGTCAACCCTCTTTATAGTCACGCTGTCGGGAACAATGCAACTTTTGTTGAAAATGTGCTTATAAAGAGGTTGTGACTATATAGAGGGTAGTTCAATAGTAATTGGTTCTCAATATCAAACATGGTGTGCGTATAAAGAGGTTTTTATATGATGTGCTTATAGAGGGTGTGACTATAAAGAGGGTTGACTGTAATACTAAACGTCATTGACTAAAGCGTGTCGCGCAAAAAAACTGTCACTAAATCTTAACATTTCCAACATGAGCAGCGCAACCGAGCAAGCATACAAGAAAGCGGAAACTGAGTATGACGAAGTGAAGACGAAGTTGAAGAGACTCGATGACCTAAGGAGAGGAATTGCCCAAGAAGATTTTGAAGGGGAACGAAAGGAGCTCGAGGACGGGAAGAAAACGCTGGAAAAGGAAAAGAAGTCCTGGGGAGAGCAGGTGCAGTTGCTGCAACAAAAACTGCTGGCGGTCCTTGAGCCAGGTAACGACTTTGTGAGTCAGGTGTTGGGACATAGACTTAGTAATATGGGCGGTAATATAGTTGTGTTGGAAAACGTAGCTTTTTTCATATCATAGAACGTGTTTGATATAATTTAACTGAAGTTTTGTTTCTTATGACAGAGGAACCTCCACAGAAAAGGGCACGTACTGTTACTAAGTCGGTTTTGCTCCAGGCGCTCCAGGAATTTAAGGACCCAAGCCTTTGCACCTACAATAGCTATGGCTTCAAGGACCGTTTGATTAACCCCAAAGAGGTATTCGCCTCATACATATCGTTTTATTGGAGAATTGCTTCTTCATGGCATAATTTTGACGACCTATTTATTTGCTTGTATTTACTGTTGTTTGTCTGTAAAGACAAAGGCTTCTGTGGCATACCTTGAAGTTGGCAAACAACTGCCATTCACAGGCCGTGCGAATGAACTTAAAGAACTCTCATACATAGTCAGTGGCAACATGGCAGTTTGGAAGAATCTGCGTTGTGCAGAAACTGATACGTTTGAATTAGTTGTGGAAATTGCTAAGCGCACGTTCCAACATCCAGTAGTTGCAGGTGGCCCTGGCCATGGCAAAACTACCCTAATGCGCCTTGGTATTATGAAGGTGATGCAAGACTTGTATGAGAAAAATTGGTCACACCGTGCATTTGAATGGGACCTTAACTACAGCCCACTGGACAGTGTAGAGAAGATATTAATCAGAACGCCAAGTGGTGCTGAAAGCATTTTGGCACTGCATATTCTTCATAGGTCATTCAATGGTGATGTTATATACTCTGACTTCATCAGAGATCTGCAGCCTCATCTTCTAAAACAACATCTTGACTACTCTGATATTACTATTGATGCTGTGTTAGACCATGTGTTAGCAACAATGTCACTTGAACCACCAGATAATGAACCCATCATAGTCCTTTTTCACATTAGCAAGACACAAAAGCTGTTGCAAACAGAGTCTTATCATGAACTGGAAGCACTCATAGAGGCAACATTCCTTTTCAATGTGAAAATGGCACAACGTAAAGATGGCCGTTACATGTTGCTTACAACTTTTGATGGCACATATCGTGCAGAACTGCTAAAGGCATTTGAAAGGAGTGGTGTCAGGTGCCGTTCAATCATCTTGAATTCTGTGTCACTCCAGACATACATAGCTATTCTCCATGGACTTGCTGCTATGGCCAAAAATAGTGGTATCAAGTGCAATTCTGGTCTGCAACAATTTACACCAGCAGGACCACTCAATGCCCTTATCTCAGACTGTGGTGATAATGTACAGCTCTTTTCACTTCTCTTGTATCAAATAGGCTGCTTTGAAAATGATGAAAGGAGATTCACATGGGAGAATTTCTTTGCAAACCTTTGGAGGATGCAGATGAAGTTAGGCTTATACATGATCCCCATTGAATCAATAAGGATGGGTGTTATAAACCTTGTCAACACACATTATTATTTTTATACCAATGATATGCAGAATCTCAACTGTAGACAGCTGCTGCGTGTTTTGATTCCTGCTCTACTAAATCGAGACATCACTGACAACATTACATCCAAAGTATTAGATTCAGAGACAACATGGGAATGCCTGGAAAAAGAGGGTGTGATAAGTTTGCATGGAAAAACAGTGGAATTACCCTTCATACTTGTTCAGGTATACCTTAACCAATGTAAAGGATACAATGATTCAATTATATCATTCATTCACTTGCTCAATGAACTCGATAGGCCATCAGACTTTCGCCAGAATGAAAAATGTGATCTTGCTCTTACTGTACTAAATCTTTTCCATTTTCATTACAACTACCCAAAGCTTGTGACTTTCACCCTTGCAAATTTGTTTGAAGGCCTTGAAGGGGCTGCAGCAAATATTGAATTGGAGTTTCCATCATTTATCACAAATTATAACATTATAGGATGGCCAACAGTGAAATCTCATCAATTTAATCCAGAAAAGGATCTTCATGAAGGAGCATACCTTGGATGTGGCAATGACCCTTATGTAGACTCATGGTTTGTGTTCCGTCGTAGCAATTGTCCAGTTACTGATCCAGGTGTAGTTGTTTTGGGAATCCAGAGCAAATGCCACAAAAAGCAAAAGACTATTAAAGCAGAAGATGTCAAGGTTGAAAAGGAAAAGGTATTCACCTTACATATATTAATATATAGGTTTTTGTGATTCTACATCAAAATGTTTTATATTTGTTGTTGATATATGTTCTACTTCAAATAGTTTAGGAACTGTTTGCCACCTGGGACACCATTTGTCTTTATGATAGTAGCAGACATGACTTCCACATTGGTTGCAGGTGATGATGAGATAATTGTCACAACCTCCAACATGGAAAAATTGTATGGGCCATGGCTAAGCCTGCGTCGTAGATTTGCCTTGGGAAGATTTAGAGTTTGAGCATTCTTGTTGTTAGCTTATGTGGAAAGTCCAACCAATATCCTAGCTGATGATGATGAATCATTAACATAACAGTATTGTTTAACCAGAACAGAGATGGAAAACATGGTATGGATGGGTATAAGGCATGGCTTGGGGGCTAGTACTTGTTTGACTCTGCAATTGACACATACTAATACTAATACTACCTTATCTTAATCTGTTGTTTTAAAAAAAAAATTATTTTGTTTATTTTATTACATTTGTGTGCATTACCTGAGTCACCCTATACATGTAAACTAGTGTTAGGGTGATACACATAGTGTGGTTAAACAATAAACAATTGATGTGATATGTCCCATCTAAAAGATCCTATGTCCCATCTATTGAAAATCAAAGATACAGCATTTGTTAATATTCAAAGCAAAGATTATAATTAGTGATGCTTTGGTTTAATGATTTATATTAGCTGGGCTTTGATATGTTTGCCAGCCCTTTTGATTAAAATCTCTTGTTTACTCTGTATTACTATTACAACTAAAACCAGAGAAACTGTGCATAATAATAAAATTAGATAAATAGCAAATGATAAAAAATATGAACAAATATGAGAAAGCAATTCATTTTTTGAAGTAGGTTGTGTTCTGCCAAGGTGCTGAAAAAGACTTTGAGTCAAGTGAAGTTTCCCACAAATTTGTGGCTAATACTAATGCTGACTTTGATATGAATTTTGTCTGGTTTTGTTGCAGTCTGCCCCATATTAATATAGTATATGACACTGCACACCCAAGAGCATCTGATGTATATAGTATAATAGTTTTCCCTGGAGTTAGAAGAAAGGTTTTTTTGTCCTGCTTTTTTCCACTCTCTTTTAAATTCTTCCCACCAATGTGGATGTTAACTGTAGAAGCTGATTCTCTTGCTGTGGAAGAAGATGCTCACAAATGATGTAGATTACATAAAGAACCACCATCTACATCTGCATCAGTTGGTACAACAGATGCAGATTGAAATGTTTTTCTATTAGAGTTATGATGGATTTATGTAATAGTAAGGATACAGGACAAAATATCAAATTACTTCCAGGCATTGTAATTGGTCAAAATGTTGGATTGATAAAAGGGAACTTTTTAAGGTCATTTTCATACATGCAAACTTTTATTGTTTCCTTTTGCTTTGTAAACAAGTTAAAACAGCTCTTTTGATATGCCATAGACACAAATGCATTTGTGAGTTTCTCCACACTGCTTGTGCAGCATTGATTTCAGCAAAGTCTTTATCAGTGAAAATAAACTTAGTATTAGGGATTAGCCTTCAATTCCTAAGTGCTTGGAAGAATTCTATGAGTAATTGTGTCCAAATGAATTCATTACTTCCTGTATTTTTACTTGCATCCACTAAGCAATAATAATAAGCAAGCAGAAATCCACTTCCATGGATACAATTCAAAGCAACCTTTAGCTGTCTTGTAAGTTGCATCCACATGTACTTCTTCAATCTGTTGGGCATACTTTAGAATAGGTGTTGAAAAACCAATGGCTACAATCTCTGAGGTATTTTTTTCCATAACAAGTTCACAATTTTGGCTTTGATATACGTTTTTGAGAAGATGAATTGCTGATTTTATTGGACACGGTTTGCAGGCATCTTTTAAGGGCTTTCGAATTTATAGGCTGACTGAGTGCTTGAACTCCAACAAAAGTAAATCTGTTTCAGTGTAATATCTGACAAGTCATACTTTTTGGTGAGATATTTTTGAAGTTGTAATGGTTCTAAGTGTATATTTCGCTGTATATCCATGTAGATATTTTCAGGAATGCTATAAGAGTTTTCTGGATGTTCAGCGAATAATTGTGAGTTAGTATAATGCATGTATAGTTATTTACTAGATCTATGTGTATTCGTAATTGGCCTTCACATTTAAAGCATATAATTTGTTTTCGATTGGACTGTTTGTAATCTGCTAGATATTCACATTTTGTTTCTCTCTTGTATGGATTTTGTTACGGCGAGCTGATCTGATGAATCAGATAAGTGAGTCAATGATAAAATCTTCCTCCGCAGTCAAATTAGTAATAACAATAATATAGCGTTTCGAAAAATTAGTGACAGGCGCAGTAGTAGCAAAAACGTTTCGAAAAATCAGCGACAGTACAAAAACGCTATAATTGGTATAATTAATTGGACAAAAGTGCATTTCATTTTTTTTTAGTGACGCGCGCTAAAAGATATATAAGTAGCTCAATTTCCATCGTCAAGATGTTATGGTCAATGTTAATGTTGTCTATGTTGTGAAATAAAATAATACTACTGATCTTAGTAGTATTCTCCCGAAATCCTTTATTATAAATAATTATTAGACCGGACACTCCAATAAACGGCTCACTTAAGCTATAACGGAATAGCATTGATTGATCAAGCTAACAAGTTGTCCGCGGATCTATTACGTGAATAACGGAACGAGAGATTATCGAGACGATTATTGTTTAATTAGTTTAGTGAGGCAAGTGACGGATACCCGACGTCGGAAAAACAAATCGAAGACAGCCCTGTTTAAATTTAAAATAGTACTATTCCCCTTTGATTCTTAGCTGTTGTTATTATTTTATTAGAAGTATCTTTATTTGTGTTTGAAACTCGATAGGGAATGGGAAGCGCGCATAGTAAAATAGGTCACTTGAGGCTTAATTCAGTCTTAATTGCACAACTATCGTGGTAAGGGCGATAGTACGAGCTAAGCCTGGTAACATCCCCCGGTCGGCGAACACACCTACGCGAAAAGACAAATTGCTCTTCCAAAAAACCCCCAATTAATTACCGACCGTAACAATTTATTTTCTTTCCAGAAACTTAAATAAATATATTAACATGTTAGCATCTTGTTGATGGAATTGTATTTTGTCTGAAATTCTTACTTCCATTTATAGCCATCTCTTTCAACAGCAATTCGAAATTTTGTAGCAATGTCCTTTGGGTTTAAGAATCCATCAGCTTCAAGAATTACTTGACATAAAATTTCGATATGTTCCTTATCCACAACCATATCGTCATTAAGACATTCGAATTGACTCTGTGAAATTCTGCCTCTGTTAAGGTTATAAAATGTTCTTCATTAATATTCGCACTTTTTGTGAGTATTGAATTTATTTGCTCCTCAGATAAATTAATCAAAGGCGCTTGATAAAGCATGTCTGTGGGCGAAGTTTCTGATGTTCATGTCTTAAGAATTCTCCCCCTAGACAAAAACTCATCACTATTTTCTTAACATGACAAGGTGAATACTTCAACATTTTGTGCAAAGCAACAGATGCGTATGCAAAGAACGCGTTATTATTTATTATGTTTATTTATCTTTGCTGGTTAGTAACTCACGTTTTTTACAAAAGGGGTAACACATAACGATTAAATAAAATTTTTTTGTCAATTAATTAAAATGTATGTGTAGTATTAGTAACTACCTGCAGAGAAAAACTGGCAATTGAAATTATTAGAAATACAGTTCAATTAAATCCATTATTTAATATATACATAATAATAGTTGGAGAGTTCCTCTTTTATCAAAATGACTGAATCTGTCAGCCATTGGACAAAGTAGATTTAGTTTTAGAATCAAGCTAAAAATCGAATCTTAGCTTATTTGACAAAGCGTATAAAGAAAATTAATCACGTGGAAAGACCGCCTCCGTAGAGTTGCAATAGTAATAGCTCCATTACAATAGATAAAAAAAACCCCCACTTTCAGCCAATAGAATTGTCCCGTATAAATAGAAGAAAACAATACAACGAAACAAGAAAAATGCTTTTAAGTCTATAGAAAGAAACTGAAAGAAGACATAACAATGTGGAAGCTTTAGATCTTTATCGATGGTAGATTGAGAGATTGAGATCTGATTCTGATTATTTAATTGCATAATGAACTTCGTTATGCCAATAAATTCGCCCAAGTAAATGGCTTTATAATGCATGGCTTTATTGAAAACTTCGTTCAATGTTATATAGCACTTTATTATTATATATAAATCTTTGTTTATCCGAAATTATTCGAATCTTCGTCTTCATTAAAGTGATTTCACTACCTCGATTTTCACGTGTTCGCCATCACTTTGTAACTCCAAAATGACATACCTAGCCACAGCTGTGCCACTAGAACACCATTATCAGTCAGTCTACCCCCACATTAGATGCTAAAAATGAACGAATTGACAACTCTTTTCACTTTCCGTCGCGCTGCTGCAAGTTCTTTATCGACTCGCACTTTGTTTGGGAAGAACTCATTTCCTGCACAGCACCGCACATTTAATTTGGTTCCAACAGGAAAAATTCTCGTTTCGCCTACAGCAGAAACTGATCGACCTCAATGGACATCCGAGTCTGTTCGCCTTGGAGTAATTGCAAGAAAAGAGGGCATGAGAGCAATATGGGATGAATGGGGCGTTCGAGTTCCTGTGACCGTACTAAAAGTGATATCTCTAGCATTCTTATCGTGTTGATGTGTATCATAAGAAGAAATTTAGATGGTTACTTAGCAAACTGATGTTTTCGCTTTTCACTCTGACAATTGGCCTTCCGACTCGACTCCCGATAACTTACACAAAGCAAGCTGGAAAACTGTCAGGTGGTTCAAGTGAAACGTAATGAAAAAGACTACAAGCCCGGGTTAGTTGCTGTAGAAGTTGGATGTACAGATATGAAAAAGAATGTCAGTAAAGCATTGTTGGGTCATCATGAGAAGTATGGTGTGCCGCCAAAGCAGAAAAGGATGACGTTTTGGGTCACCCAAGATGCCGTGTTACCTCCCGGTATGCTGCAGTCGTAATGTCTGGTTGAGAGTAACATCTATATTCATATTTACTTTGAATGACTGCTTTTATTTGACAGGCACCGAGCTAAGTTCTGCACACTTTGTCCCCGGACAATATGTTGATGTGCAAGCAAAAACGTATGTGTACTTTCCTAATGAGTTTGATCAGTTCTTCTACTTTGTGTGTTCACAATTGCTGTATTGTTTTGCCACAACAGAATTGGGAAAGGTTTCGCGGGTGTGATGAAACGCTGGGGTTTTGCGGGTGCTCCTGCATCTCATGGTACATCCTTAGTTCATAGACATGCCGGATCTACCGGAGCACGGCAGGTATGTGTTAGAGGCGGATTATTTTCTCTTGTCTATATTACAAGTACTTTGCGTAATATATAACACTTTTTGTAAAGGATCCTGGCAGAGTTTTCAAGGGAAAGAAGATGGCTGGGAGAATGGGCGGAAAAAACCATTCTGTGCAAAATCTTAAAGTTGTAAAAATAGATAATACGCTCAATCTCATATACGTCAAGGGACACGTTCCCGGTTTTGATCGTCAGTTCGTCAGGGTCAGGGATGCCGTGCGTCAGAAGAAGTCTAAAGTTTTTCCAAAAGACTGCACGCCGCCACCGTTTCCGACTATAGATCCGAAACTATTGGCTACTATGCCAAGAGAATTAATGGCAAAAACTGGTGGTAGTGATCCTTTAATTATTAAAGATCGTTAATAAAAATCTTTCGAAGGGGTCCTAGTATGCGGGATAGAAACAAGTGAAAAGCGGTGGAATTTTGCTCCATAATTTCTCTTCGAGATTGTTGCATATACAACCAATATAGATGGATGCGCGAGATATATTCAATTAAGCTGTTATTAATAGAATAACTGGAGACTACGGTCGACTCTTATCAACTTATATTACGGAATGTGTTCGAATTTTGACAATTGACAATACGTTCACACTAATTTTTTGGTATGAAGAGTAGATTGTTTTTAACTTATCGATAAATTTCATGATTGGAAATGATAAGATTTTACCTAAAGAGCGAAGGATGCTCAAAACTTTTCAGTTAATATAAATAGTTAGGCCTTTTAGGATATTAGTCAAAATACTTTGTATACCAGAGTTTCCATGTCAAGTTTTCATCAAAAATTATAATTTATTATGTTATCGCAGTTTTGAGTAATAGAACAAAATTTAACTTATTATCTATTGCAATTCAGTTTCTTCCTTCTTATCTTCTTCGTTTCCTACCACAAATTCGGATAACTCCTGAGTGAACCACATGTCTTTATAAACACCATCCTCAAGCTGAAGAAGTTGGTCATGATTGCCTCGTTCTAATAGATCAAAGTAGGTATGAGAAAGAAACCCAGAACGCGGTCAAACAAACATTCTATCCTTATGAAAACCATACCTGCTATTTGTCCATTTTGTAAGACAATAATGTCATCTATCACAAAATTGTGTTTTGTTAATGAGTGCTATCCAAATCTTCCAGTCAAACACGTTCTCAGCCCCATCCTTACTCACCAGCATCAGCGACAGACCTCAACCTATGCGCAACAAATATACTAGTTTTTTCGCTTTCGTGCAGAATGCTTTTCATGTTCGACAGCAAAGACTGTTCTGTATGGGTATCCAATGCAGAAGTTGCCTCATCGAAAAACCAGATTGGTGCATCCTTTAATATTGCTCTTGCCAACGCGATTCTTTGCTTCTCTCCACCAGAGACCATTAGTCCGCGTTCCCCCACTCGAGTTTCATATTTATCGGGCAGACTCATTATGACATCGTGAATATGTGCACGTTTGGCAGCATGTTCGACATCAGCGCGAGTTGCTGCTATCTGGCCATAGGCTATGTTGTAATAAATTGTATTGTTGAATAGTGCTGTGTCCTGGAAAGAAAAGCATGAATATAAAACAACAAGGTTGAATTTAACGGTCAACAAAAAATTTCCCCCACCACTCTACAAAAGAATTTCTGTAGGAAGCAGTACAGTTGGCCACATACTTTGTGACTCAATTAGTGAGAAAGCTGAATTACCTGAGGCATAACACCGATATGGGAACGCAACGAATCAAGTTTGACATCCTTTATGTTTTGTCCGTCGATATAGATGTTACCGGATCCTGGATCATAGAACCGGAAAAGAAGTCGAAGGAGGGTCGATTTGCTGAAAGCATAGATAGGAGTCTTGACGATAAGCAAGTTATCAATAAAACGAATCAGTTACTATTGATTACAAATCAGTTTATGTAATTATCTTACCCACACCCGCTGGGTCCAACTACGGCTATCTTCTTGCCTCTTGGCACCACAAAGCTGATGCCGTGCAAAATCGGTCGATCTGGATGATAGCCAAAGGCGACGTCTTCAAATCTAATTTCACCGCCGCTGAAAACGAGCTCTTTCGCACCAGGTTTATCCTAATCACATAAAAGCGACGTGTCAGTTGAGCATATATGACTGTCTTCTCTCAGCAAACATTCCGTGATAACAATCGGCTACAAAATAGACTCTAAATGAACATTGCATTTCTTGACATACAAGGTAAGTTACACAACTCTACGGACTGTTGCTGAGAAGATTTGATTGGGTCAAATTCTTCATTGTTTAAGATTTTTGGTACGATCGCGTGTTGTACCAAAAATAGAGTTTTTGACGTACCTCGATTTTAATTTGGGTTGCTTGCAAGTTAAACATCAAGTCCATGTCAATCAAGCTCTGCTTTAACTCTCTGTAAACAGTCCCCAGGAAATTTAAAGGTAATGATAGTTGAAATACGAGCTGGTTGACCATCACGACGTCACCGACACTAAGACTTCCTGTATCGTATTCAATCATAAGCAAGACTTTTCAATCACAAATCCCCTCTTCCAAATCAGTCGCAACCTTTTTTCTTCTCATATAAATCGAACGACAAACTCACCTGATACAACTCCTTCAGCAGTCAAATACATCATTGCCGTTAGAGCAGAACTGAAAATGATGTTTTGTCCCGAGTTCAAGAACGACAAGGAGCTAGCAATTTTTAATGAAGCTTTCTCGTATTTGGAGAGAGCTTTATCGTAATGCTCAACTTCAAGCTTTTCGTTGCCAAAGTATTTTACCGCTTCATAATTAATAAGAGCATCAACTGCCACGGTTGCCGCGTCATTATCAGCCCTGTTAGCCTCTTTACGGAAATGCGTTCTGGTGCAATAAAGATCGTATATTATTGATAGGCAAAAAAGAAGGCATACAAGGTACCAAAAGCGCAGAAAGACGTGGTACCACAAGTACCTCCAAGAAGTAGTCTTAATCGTGAATATAGCGTAAAGCAGCATAGTCAGACTCGTCACGACGGCGAACTTGTTACCATATTGATGAACCTGGAGCCAAAAATTTCCAAATTGAAAAATAATGAACTAGAATTGGAAGCAGACAAACTGTTGTAAAAGCTTCATTACCAATATGCCACAGACAAGACTAATCTCAAGAACTGTCGGAAGCACGTGAAACACCAACGAAGATAATAGAAAACTTATTCCTCTAAAAAGTTGGAATTTTTGCCAAAGAGATTAGAACCAGTTTACGAGCTTACTCCAGAATCTTTACCCAGTACTTCAATCCCCTGATACGTCATGTCTCGCACTTACTTAGTACCACGATCAATAGCTCGACTTAGACCGCCAGTCTGTCTCGAAAGATGGAAATTCAAGTCCAACTTGAGCAGATGATAAAACACATTCTTGGCAACTCTACGAATGGCCCTTTGAGCAACATTAGCAAATACTGCATTTCTTAGTTCCTGAAACACGGTAGCACTGACTCTTGCAAGACCGTCTGCATAATCGAAAAAAAAAACAAACAACAGTGGATGAAAAAAAGTTTCACTCACTCTGGCTCTAAACCACTGGAAACAGAACATTATTTGACAACCCACTTTGATGAATTACTCACACGCGAGAATCATTCCACCAGCAACAGTAGCCACCGTTCCAAGCTGAGCTGTGTCCATATTTAGCGAGTCAATTATGTTCTTGAAGAAAAAAGGTACCCGTACATTTAGAATTTTTCCGCCGACAAGTAATCCTAAAGCAACCATCACACGAATTTTGACTCCAATATCATCTTTTGGCCAAATATACTGTAAAAGGTTTTTAACAATCTGCCAATCTGCAAAAAGCTGCTTAGAATTTGTAGTAGGAGAAGTACTTGAAGAGGAAGAAGAAGTTTGAGGGCTCGATGACGTGATTGACGACTGTGGTGTTGGCTTGTTATGACTCGCACTGGTGAGAGGAGGATCTGTGGACGTGGGTTTGCTTCGAAAAGATTTCGAAGTTTGTTCAGCATGAGTTGCGTGATTACGAATGAAAGACCGGAATAATTGCTACATACAATTCGATTGAATTGGGACGAATTAGCAGCACATAGACTGTTATGAAGAAAGCATACGGAAGTGATGACTTACATGATTATTAGATAAATTCCGCCGCCAACATTGCTTCCAAATGTTTGGCGTAATATTAGTAGACTTGATTGATGTGTTTTTGTATAAAACGGGAGATACCAAAGATGCCGCCGGCTTGCAAAAAATAAAATTGCGGGCATTCGCACTAGTCAGGTGTTTGAACGGTTTTCATAGAGTTGACTATTATCAAGCTACTGACTTACCTGGCACGACACGTTTGTCGTAATATATCGAATTAAATTGCCATTCAAACTAAGGTTAGTATTCAGTCGCCCCGATAATTTTCGGGTGATTAACGTAAATCCGCGGGCCACATTTGCCATCACGCATTCGACCTCGAGGGAGAAAGATTACTCCACGATTATATCTACCGCTTAATCAGGTTTTGAACACCGTCTTCAATCAAATCAAATTATTTTTAAGCCATAACCACTACTGAGATTGTAAAATAAAGTAATTTTTTTTCTGATGGTGTAATCTGATGGTAAAATTTGGTCGTAGATCCGCTATCCACAATTGGTCGAGTAGAATCTGATAACGGCTCAATTCCATGTATGGACACACACTAATGTCATTTCAGCTCGAAGAAGAAATCCGTACTTTCAGAGAAGACCGTAGCCGAATATCAAAGGCTTTCCGCGAACGGCAACGCCAAAGGCGATTACAACTTTCTTCAAACCCACTATTCCGTGGTAAACTTTCCGGATACCACGAACAACGGAAATCTAGCACAAATGAATCAAAAAGTCCCGTCAAGTCTGGAAAACATGCCGTTTTTGAGACGTTAAACCATCCAAACAAATCGTTTCGTTCAAAAAGCGAACAAGCTTCCAACGATTCAGAGAACAAATGGAAGAGCTTGCCCGGATCAATGCTTCTGCGTAATGTGTATGCAGGAAGGAATTTAGTTGATGGAATGAATCAGGCAGACCGTTTACAACAAGACGGTGAAAAGACAATTAGGAATGACTATTGTCAACATTTTGTTGATTCAGGGAAAAGGCCACAGAATTTTATTAGGGATACAGAACTGTCTCAGCGATTTGACGAGTTGAGTGTCAATTAAATAATCTAGAAAAAAGTTGTGGTGAAGGGAGACTAAGAATGCGTGTACATGACAATTTTTATTCAATAGGTATCCCAAGCTGAAAGAGTTGACCAAGTTGAAGAATAGTCTTGTAGCGACTCGATCAACACCACCGACATACTTGAAGACAGATTTACGGGCTTTCGATTTAAAATCACTCGGTACTAAATTTGACGTCATACTAATTGATCCGCCATTGGAAGAGTAAGTCTCGCTATTTCCTTAACGTCGCGTACTCGGTATTCTCGTTGATAATCAATCCTTGTTTCTAGCTATTGCCGACGATCGCCCATAGTTGCCGGAACCGGTTCTGACTTTTGGACATACGATGAGATTATATCCTTTGCATGCTTTCCCTCCTTTATCTATTAGTTTTACCTTATAGTTCTTAACTCTATCTTACGCTAATCTTAAGATAGAAGATGTGGCAGCAACTCCATCGTTCATATTCATCTGGTCAGGGGATTCAGAGGGTCTTGATCGCGGTCGTCAGTTGTTGTTAAAATGGGGGTATCGTAGATGTGAAGACATTGTCTGGATCAAAACTAACAAATCCTGGGAGGTAATTGGTGAACTTATGATGTTTGCTTGTCGAGATTAAGTTTTTTTCTGTAAGCCTTAGTTTCACAATATGGAATTTATAGGGAAGTAGGTTTATAGAACCCAGATCAGTACTGCAAAGGACTAAGGAACACTGTATTATGGGAATCAAAGGAACTGTACGGAGGAGTACAGATGGACATTTTATACATTGTAATGTTGATACAGATGTGATCATATCGGAGGAACCCCCATTTGGAAGTAAGCAGGGAGGGAACAATGAATTGCGCGAAAATTCTTGCGCGGTTTTTACTACCCTATGATTAATAAGTATCTTGATATCTTATAGGCTTGAACAAACCGGAAGAACTTTATCATATAATAGAACACTTCTGTCTTGGTCGCCGGCGGTTAGAACTCTTTGGCGAGGTAACGGAGAAATAGAATGAATCGTTTTGTCATATTCGTATAATGATATCTGACCGCATACGTATTTTTCTCTTTATTACAGGATAGTAATATCCGTCCCGGGTGGCTGACAATTGGAAGCGAGTTATCTAGCTCTAACTTTAATATCGATACATATACATCATATTTCGCAGAACCCAATTCATACTTGTTAGGTTCCACGGCTGGTAAGTTTCTTTCTAAACTTGTTTGAATAGAGTTTGTTGTGGATTGCTTACCTTTCTTACGTTCTGCATTCACGTTTAGAAATTGAATCTCTGAGACCAAAGTCTCCGCCTCCACGAGATCCAACGGCAGCGAAGGTTGGTGCTTCCCAAGGTGGAATCATCAAATCCAAGAACAAAAAACCACCTAATGCTCCCATGATGCCAATTGTACCCATGCCAATGCCAGGATTTCCTCATAGATGGTTACCTGGTCCGTAACTTGACTATTTTAGTAAAAATTTTGGTCTGCAAACGTGTTACGAAAATAACAAATTATTATGAAAGTATCTCTATTTATTTAAGACTAATACTAATGAATGAGACCAAACTTATGTACGAATATATTTATATAGTGAAAAATTACCTATGAAATCTGCCCAGAAAGAGCAAAAAATATATTGGCTGGGTGGACGTTATAATAATAAGAGTTGATGGTACCCAGAAAATTAGCTGCATTCTCGGTTGATGTCAGAGTTATTGTAAGCAGCGACATTCAATTGCGTATAAAAATCAGACTAATTTCAAGTAATAATTCAAAATGCAAACATCAATCCAAATTTACGATCAAGCATTGTGTATATTGGCGTCTTTATCGCTATGTCAAGTTCTTGGACATGTGCGCACACTAATACTACATACAGTATTTCAATTGTCATAGGTGACGTCTATATTATTTTAAACGGTGTTCCATATTCCAATAATTTCTGATCTATTAGATTATTTAAATATCTCGAAGTCATGATCATTCTGAACTTTCTACGCAATTTGTAACATAGTTACTGGCACTCATGTGTTAATACAATAAGTTTAATATTAATGCAAGGCATTAACCATATATTAGACAATAAAGTTCTAAATTTAAAACATGTCCCATGACTAATATGACAATTTGTGTATTTTGTCGATCTCAAACTAAGCCATTATGTGTGAACAATACTGTACATGACCACGTTCATTTCACATTATAACTTATACACTACCTGGACAAAAGTATCGGCCACCCTAACTTTATTAATTGCTCAAAAGTGTACATAATAATTGG